TAACATACTTTCAAAAACAAAAAACATCGAATGTGCAATCAGATAGTTTCAGGCAAGAAGTTTAAGCATTATGTAAGTGTGAATTGTAGCATTTAAATATTGATGCACATCAAAAGCATTTACATTTGCTTTACTTCAAATCATCAACATCCAGAATAATAGGAAACTATTTGCAGACAATCTTATAAAAATTGCGTAATTTCTCTTCAAAGGATGTAGTTTTATTTTTGTTTATAATGCACTGAACTGCTTTATGATGCTTATGATTAAGCTTATTCATTATTCTGGATTAATCTTAATGCATTGTAGCCTAGACTGAGTCTGTTCTAGGTCTGTCTTAGAAGTTTTTAAAGTTAGTATATTATTCTTTAAAAATATGTACTTTATTTCATATTTTCTATAGAATGTGCATTGTGAGCACTTAATTAAAATATTAAAAGACAGACAAGCACAAACACACAGTGGTGTCATAAGTATATCGGGTGTTTTTTAGTTACAAGTTTAATAGTTACATTTGGCAGTTTAACAAGTGTACAATTTTTCTAATATGTTGCACTTTTTTTTAAATATTATGTTAGGTATTAATTGTTCAGGAAATACTTAATATAAACACCCGATAATTTTGATATGGGCTAATATTTAGGAGCTATAGGCACGAGGCTGGGAGGATAGCTAAAGCCCACACAAAGCAAATTAAAAGTAGTTTAGGGCGTCACATCTCCAGAAGATATTGAGATTTTAATGTGGTTATTATTGTTATCATATTGAAATACTAATCGTATTTAACAGGCTAGAGCAACTTCACTGCAGAGCTGTGTAATGGTTATTCGCATAATGCGTGATCTTTGTAACCGTGTACCCACTTGGGGACCATTAAATCCATGGGTTAGTATGGAATAACTTTCTATTGTGCAAATATCTTAGTTCAATTTATTTGAAATAAAATAAAATAAAATAATTATTTGAAATAAAATAATATTTAATATTTCAAAAAACAAAGAAATAAAAATAAGAGATTATTAAATTTTTTCAGGCGCTGGAGCTATTAACAGAGAAAGTAATTAGTACTGCTGGAGGACCTCTTAGTCCAGGTGAAGCTTTAAGAAGACTTTTAGAATGTGTTGCTGGAGGAATATTGCTTCCAGGCAGTCCAGGTATAGTTAATTTGCAATGAAATTAATATAAACAATAAAAATATTGATTTTTTTAAAATATTTTTGAAACAAAGTGATGATACAGATGACGAGACTGAGTATATTGTGAAATCCATCCAGATTCTAAAATCGAGTATTTCGATTTTTGTATCTTAATGGTATTCTTCACAATATTACATAGATGATTGGCAATCTGATTTTATGTATTTATGTAAAATTGTACAAATGATTTGTAACGAAAAACAAATGGTTACAAATAATATATTTCTGTAGGATTATCTGATCCATGTGAAAAAGAGCCAGTTGATGCGATAGGCAATATGACAGCTCAACAGAGAGAAGATATAACTGCTTCGGCGCAACATGCTTTGCGATTGGTTGCATTTCGTCAAATTCATAAAGTTTTGGGTATGGAACAACTTCCACCACCTAAATATAAGGGCCGATATGGTAGGAAACGAAGACGTGACAATAGTAACGGAGAAGGAACAGATAGCGAGGCCTCGAAAAAAGATAAAAAAGCAGAGGAGATCAAAATGGAGACAGACTCCAAGTAGATCTACCAAAATATTTGCTTTATCGATTTACTCGTAACTTATATAGTATAAGAAATAAATTTTTCTCGTGTCAATTGCTTGTTCAATGAGGTGTTTCTATACTGGAAAGATATCAAAGATTAAAACAAGACTAACGATCTATTAATATAGTGTTATGATTATTTAGAATGTAGTCTCCCTTTGGACAACCAATGGCGCATCGTTTTAATTCGCAATCATGATTTTAATGACGAAAGAAATTATTAGGTCGGATTATATCATTGTACCTTGACTTCGTTTTTGAACGTATAACATCGTCGAATTATCGCGTTACTACTAGTACTAAGTTTTCTGTTTTATTGATAAAAACTGATGTACTGCTTCGATTGTTATAAGCAATTTAATTTTTTAGTAAGTTCTGAACCTCTTTAAAATAAGGAATATATTATTTCAGATTTCATTTGTTAAATTCATTTTACGTATAAACACTAGATTTTAGTGTTATTATAAAATATGGATAATGTTATTCTTAAGATATATAAGAAAACCTTTGCAACTATTTTATTAAAGGTTTTTGAGAAAAGACTTATAATCTTTCCTAAACAGGCAATTGGTACGATTAGTTCCAGCACTAGGATTTTGTCAAAAAAAAAAAAAAATGATGAATGCGTTATTAGTTCTGAATTACTTATTTAGCTATATTTGAAAGTCACAATGTATGATGAAGTTTAATAGAGAGGGTGGCAAGAAACTGAACATTTATAAGTTTTGAAGTTAAGAGTAGGTTAGTTTGTATTGAGAATTCGTGTGTATGTTGTGTGTGTAGTCGTAAAGAAGTGCAGAATGTTTCCCTGCACAAAACAACTAACACCGTATGTTCTCACCGCGTGTACTGATTCACGCAGAAGATTCCAAGAAAGCAGAGTTGAAAATCAATTATTACAATAGATGCTTTGCTGTCCAATGAGGGTTAAGTGCACGTGTCAAGAATTCCTAATATTTTACTATAGTTTGTTTAAAAATTTCACAGGAAATCGAATATAATTTCAAAATGTTCATACGTAATAAATTTTGTTTCTGACACAGTGTATGAATCTTCTGTTGTACACATGCAAATCCTCTTTGAATAAATCGAACATGCATGAGATAAATATAAAGTTTTCTTCACTTCCATATTCCTTTGCATATTACAGTACATATTGTATAAGAGCTTTTATCAATAAGATAAGTTAATAAGAATTATTCTCTTTAGTAAGAAGGCCACACACACAATAGCACTTCGATTTTACTATTATAATTATTAATTAGTTAATTTTCTACAAGAAGAAACACTTAACATACAAAGAAAGTTAATTATTTTTGGATGGCACCGAGTAGAACTGAGACTGATATTGTATTAATTTTTTAATAAAATTAGCAGAAGATAGAATTAAAAAAATTAATTTTATGTTTAATTTAAGGATATAATTTGTGTATAAGTTATGAATATAATTTTATATGTATAATTGATTTTGTTTGGTACAACTAGTCTTTTCAAATAAGAATATGGACAATGATTGACTCTTATAATTTCAATTTTTTCTCATAAATGTATACAATTTTTTAATCAAACTAAACTGACGTATGCTTTGAATCAATATAAGATTAAGCATTAAGTAATTTTCATTTCCTATTCTACAGTATTAAAGTATATATTTGTATATATTTAAATTACATAATATGTGTATTATTAGTTTATTATTTTTTCAACCAAATATATAACGTATATAATATAATATATACGTTATAATATAACGTAATAAACCTGCTCTACATGCAGGTATTTTGCAAAAAAAGTTTGCAAACTTTTCATTCAAGCAATTTTTCATTAAATGATTAAAACTTGTAAAAACGTGTGTAGAGCCTTGAAATTTCAAACGAAATAATGCAAACTAACTTCTTGAAAATTTGATAATTTTTCAAAATTAATATGGAGATTACGTTATATTCTATTCATACATAAAGATCATATCTAATGTTCACTGTGCCATTCTAATTATATTTTATTTTTAAGAATAATATGCGATTTATTAATTTCATGTGAAAAACAATTGCATGTTTTATTATAAACATGTTTCGATAATAAAGGTAAATATTTATATTGTTTTTAGAATTTAGCTTAAAGTCTGCGAGTTTTTGTTTTTGTCCTTTTTTTATATTAATAACTGGTTGTAATTATTGCTAAATTATATAAGTAGTAACGTACATAGTTAACTAAAATTTATTATTTCGATGTTAATAATGAAATATTAAATTAAAAATGTAAATAATTATCGTAAGTAAATACTTGTTTTCGAAATTATCATGTATTTCATGTAAAACAATCATGCTATAAACAAAATTTTAATCTAGTCTGATAGTCATGATTGATTTTAATTTTTTTTTTTTTTTTGATGAAATATCAATTTCAATGAAAGTGAATAATTATGCAAGATAAAATATTGTTTTTCACTGTGTCACTAAAAATATTTGGTAAGTAATATGAATGATGAAATGATCATGCAAATAATTACAAAATACAAAAAATATTAAATTTTTTTAATGATACATTTTAATTACATTGAGTAAATATTTATATTATTTTTACAATTCTATGATTTATATGTTATATCTATTTTAATACTTAATTTAAATATATATTATTTATATATTATAACATTAACTTGCATGAAGTAAATTCACGTTTTTATTTTTTTTTATTAATTTTCATCAATTTTATTCTAAGATTGATCAATTCTATGTTTTGATATCTATATAGATATGGTTATTTTATATATATAATAATTTTTATAAATTAATTTAATATCGAGTTTAAAAACAATAACAATATATTTAATATCGAATCTATGATTTGATATTTAATATAACCTGTTCATATATTTTTATTCATATAGAATTTTGAATATTTTTATTTTTAAAATTAATGTTATTTATTCTAAAATTGTATAAAAAATTTATTAGAAAAAGCAATGCTAGTAATAAAAACAATGAATCATCACTTTTCTTTGTTCAACAATTTTTCCAGGCGCCCTCTAGCTGTATATTACTGTCAAAATGTGACAGTTCAAAGAAACGTGCATATAAATAAAATTTTTGGTTGAAGAAAATACATTATTCCAAAAATAATAATTTACTATAAATAATTTTATAAACGACATTTAATTTAACAAAATTTTATTACATAAAGAATACTCTTTGTCTCACAAACCAATAGAACGTAGCAACGTCAGAGATTCCATGACGATACAAGATATAATCCAATAGGCATCTTTGTAGAGATCTCCTGACATGTTTGCGCATGATCAGTACAGTTTTCTCTCATTGACATAAAAGGAACGTTTGTCGTTTCCTCTATTCAGTTCTACAAGATATTTCAGAGTGCTTTTAGAGGAAGAACTTCGTGAGACTTCTTAAATTTTATAGAAATTTTTGCTGCATCATAAACTACTTCCAAGGAAGGTAAGAATTTCCATTTTTATTATATTTCATACGATTTTATTTTAAATTTTAATATATTTTTTGATAATTAGAGATTTTATTGGTTTTAGTTATTTATATTCACATATTTTTTTATTTTAAATAATTTATTTATTCTAAAATTGGTTGTACACATTTAAATCATTTTTTTGTAAAAGAATAAAATAAAATAATTAAGACAAAATAATGTCTTTGAAAGCATCGATTATAAATATTGAATTTAAAATTTATTTCTGAAATAATTTCATAATATACATTTTTTATATAGCTTAGTAATTTAGTAATAATATTTTAATAATAAAATTATAACACAGAAAAATGATTATGAAAGTAATTTCGCGAAAATAAAATCTTATTTTTATAATAATGTTTCACATTTTTGCTGCGTAATAACTATACTCAAAATGGCGGTTATTGATTCACCAACATGACGCCATTATGACTATGACATTTAGCACGCATATAAAAATTGAAATTCATCCTATTTTACCATAAATGTGAACAAAATATAAAACGAACGAATTTAGAATTATTTTATGAAAATGAATTATTTTAAGAAAAGTATAAGATAAATTTCGTTTCGGAATATAAAAAATTTTTGACAAATTGACCGATATCTTTCGATACTATTTGACGATTAAAATACAAGAATTGATTTTTAAGTTTAAAAAATTAAATATAAATTTAAAAATTGCAAAATTATTTAATATATGACAACTTGATAACTTGATATTAATTTCATCGATGAAAGTAATGACGATTTAAATATATAATGTATTATTATATTATTATTTTTATTTATATAATATAATATATAATATATTTATATATATATTATTATTTAAATTGAGGGAATTTAAGCTCATATATATAAATAAAAAAAATCAATATGTGAATGTAACATATAAAAAGATATACACTAAAAAGACAACTTCATTTTGAAGATCCAAAAATATATATTGAGATTACAAAATCATTTTATCAAAAATTATGCGTCTCTAAATATATGTAGCATTTAAGCCGATAGAAAATTCATATTGATTATTTTAAAATGCAAGACTAATTGTAGAAGAACATATCTATATATAAAATGTATAATATACATAATATATATGAATTGTCTAATTTATAAATACATTAATTGAAAATTAGATACGAATTGAATTAGATTTTTGATTGCGTCAGGTGGTCGGTAATATAGAAATCATCTCTATAGAATTATTCGCTATTAAAAATCCAATACAATTATTGATTACAATTAAGCAAGTTAATTTTTTTAATATAATTGTGCGATTCAATAGAAATTACCTATGGAAAAGTTTTAATTTGTTACCGCAAGTTCAAAATTGTGTCGCATTATCTGTATGCATCTATATCAAATATTTATATTACATTTATTTGACACCCATTATTCAATTCGATAGACAAAGACTGAAATTAATAGAATGCATGCACTTACATTATAATATAAACTTCTACGAACGTAATTTTTGAGATTTTAACATATGTATTTTTGAATTTTATTTAACAGCATTAAAAAATACAAAATGAATACAATTTTTTATTTTTAAAAATAAAATTAATTTATTAATTGGAAATCAGTATAATATATTATATCTGTGTATTATGTAACTATATTATAGTAAATATAATATTTGAAAATATTTCTTTTTACTTTTGTGAATTATAAAATTATTTATTTCAACTATTTATATTATTTTACAATTTAGAAATATATACATTCTTCTAAATTGTGCATACAGAAAATATCCATATATTTCTTGAAACAAAACTTTCCAATATAAAAATAATATTCTTATTTTTATATTATAGATATAATATATATAAATCAATAAAATTTAATAAAATTAAATTTTTCATATTTTGAAATAAATTTTGCTATTAAATGTATTCTTAATTAATATATTAAATAATTTTTTTTCCAGATAATCATGCAGATCTTTGTCAAAACATTGACAGGTAAAACAATAACTCTGGAGGTTGAGGCCTCAGATACCATTGAAAATGTAAAAGCAAAAATTCAAGATAAGGAAGGAATTCCACCAGATCAGCAAAGATTGATCTTTGCTGGAAAACAACTAGAAGATGGACGCACATTGTCTGATTATAATATTCAAAAAGAGTCAACATTACATTTAGTACTGCGTTTGAGAGGTGGAATGCAAATTTTTGTCAAAACGCTCACTGGAAAAACGATTACTTTAGAAGTTGAAGCTTCAGATACTATTGAAAATGTTAAAGCTAAAATTCAGGATAAAGAAGGTATTCCTCCCGATCAACAGAGATTGATTTTTGCTGGAAAACAATTGGAAGATGGCCGTACT